TATTGTATATCAATTTTAGATATATTTTCTTACTTTTTATTTCTTGCATTTTTATTGGTCTAAAGTTTTGCGATGAGCACGTGATCATCATCATTGCCGACTCTTCTGCTCGCCAGACTGCAGCAGCGAACGAGTAGTATCATAAACTATTTATGTTAACGGTCTTCACGATCTTTCTATCCAAACATCAGCAGCTTCCGCATAGAAACGATTTTGAGTAAACCAATTATACCGAAATGATCTCTTTTTTCTTCCTTTTTTCTTTTCATTTTTATTCCTAAAATTATTATTCCACGAGACGTCATTCTCATGGCTTGACACAATCAACAATATTTGCGTATTTGTTTCGATGCTTTTTTCTTTTTCACTTTTCCTTTATTTATCAATGGTTTTTATGCTAGGTTTATATACTGAACTTTAGAAAAAAAAAGAAACAAACAAAATAAAATAAAATATGGTATATGTCATCGTTTTTCTTATCACCTTAGTATAAGAACACATTTGGTAAGTAGTTTTTACCTAAATGTAAATATACGTGTCACGTGATACGTATTTACGTTTGGTAACATTCATACAAAATTAACCTAACTTTCTAACAAAGAGGTCATCATAAAAAGTTTTAGAATTTTCAAACAGGAATACTAAATGTTCTCTTAACGTTTTAATACGTTCCAAGTTTAATTTATAATCTGACCATTATATCATTCCATGTGTTTGAATTTTTAATGCAATTTTGATTTTAATTTTATGATATTTTTTCTTAGAAAATTAAAATTCAATGGTTGTTGAAAAAAGAAATATTTCATCGTATAATAATACATCATTGTTAATGTTAATATGACGTTTAATGTAATTTACGATATTAATTAGGATCATTTTTACCTTGAACGATGATGTTACATGTTTATAAATTTAAATATCAATGTCCTTTGAAATATATTATCGATTAAACCTGTTTTTTATTTGTTTTAACATATTTCTTTTCTCGCATATTTAATTGTTTCGCGAACAAAACTCGAAATCCATGGTTACCAATATTATTCTCTTTTCAAATAGTTGGTATTACTGTATTGTCGCCAATATCAAATTGAATTTTGGCGCGCTTTCGATTGTAAACTGAATGCGCTTATCTCGATTCGATTATTTTGTTCTTTACTACACAAATTGTCAGCTGGACGACAGACAAAATTTTAATATTTATTACTTAAATAACATTTGATGTAACATATTTTGATTGATTTCATCAAATTAAACATTGATAAACATTTTGATTAAATAATATCGAGGAAATGAAGTATATTAAAGAAATTAATGAAAAATAATTAAGGATGGGGTTCTTAAAATTTCATACATCGTCCCTGACGAAAATTCAAAACATGAGATATTAGGAACAGCGTGTACTTTTGTTTTATAGTGTCATGAACTCGTGTGTCTCGCAAAGATTACCTCGTGTGTCGAAAAGCATTGATTATTAATTTGTGCGGTATTTTGATTAATAATTAATATCATTTTTCAATAAATAACAATGTCGAAATCGAATCCAGTTTGCATTCAAAAAGACTTTAATTTTGTTATGCCAAGATTAAAAAATTTATCGTGTTCCTATTGTCAACGTCAATTTCCAGAATCAAGTAAGTTCTTTTTTTCTATTATTTTATTTATTATATTTATATTTTTGAAATAATTAAACTTTGTTTTCTTTATTAATCTTTACTAGAATACACATGGAATGTAATTTCTTTTATAAAACTAATGTGTAATTGTAAGCATCCACTTTTGATGTATAGCAATCATATTAGCATAGATTTGATTACAATATTTAAATCAATAATTTTATTAGAGATATAATATGTTATATTGCTTCTTATACAATTTGTAGGTTAGAATTATATTTAGTTGCATGAAATGAGACAAATAAACTAAGTTTCAGAAAATGTTTGTTGATTTTAACGAATGTTTTTTGAAACTGATTTTATTTTCATGTTTCAGATGTTGTATATGTTCCTGGGAAACTAATTCCTTTAGTGATGCCTTGTGGTCATTTAATTTGCAATAATTGTGATTATTTAAATCCTAGTAAACATTGTTCACTATGCAAAGATACTTTACAGTTTGATGTGAAAAGTTCTGAACCCTTACCATTACACTTATATGCATTGGGTACAGCATTTTTATTAAAGTACGAATCCAATTTTGGGGAACCATATTTTAAAACATCAGACTGCCAATCACAGGATAGACGTCGAGTTAAAGGTTTTTAGTTGATGCTATATTTGTATATTTATAAATTAGTTTTAATATAATTTTCTATATATTATAGTAAATTTGATTTTTCTTTAAAAGCTAACTGTTACCAATGTGAATGTGAAGCAAGCTTCTATTGTAAAGAGTGTGATGCATTTTTCTGTAAATCTTGTTGTTCCAAGGTATGTATGCGAATGGCTTTTTTGTATTTATATTTTAATGTCTTGTTCATTTATGTATTTTAAATCTATCATTTGGCTCTTTCACAGAAGCACTTATCACAGAAAAAGTCATCGACAGATCACATTATTATTTGCATAGATGGATCAGAAGGTCAGCTTTTAAAGACAATAAGCAGCTGCGCTAACAATTGTTCTAAAAGCACATTTTATTATTGTTGCAAATGTGAATTAAATCTCTGTATGCAATGCTTTTCTTTGCACATGAAACATGAATACTTTACGCTGCAAGAAAGGGTTAGCATATATTTTGTTTTTTTTTCTATTCTGCTTTATTTCTTTCTTTTTTAAAGATAATCTTTCAAAATATTTAATGAATAATATCTTTTGTCTTTTAGAACTACACCTTAATCGAGAGCTTCCTTAGCACATTCAAAAAGGCTGCGGAGAAGAAACAGCGCATTCATCAAGCGATACAGGTAAGTGCCATTTTTATTTTTTTTTATTGCAACAAAAGAGGATGATATTGCAATTAATGCACATTTAATTGCTAATTTTACAAAAGAGATTAGTAATAAATAAATTTATTGTATGTTTATAATGTTACATTGGGTCTGCGTAGAATTTAATTTTTTGAGTCATCGTAACAGCATCGGTCAAAAATTTTTTTATATAAATCAAACTTATATATTAAAGTTTAACATTATTATTGCTTAAAGATACATATATATTATGAGTAAAGTTTATGTTTATCACTTTAACTGCCATTTTGGTCATGTATGACTGGTTATGGTTACTCTTGAGACACCGCAGTAGTCATCGGTGACTGGAGTGCGTATGAACTTTTTACAATTGTAAAAACTAAATGAAAACTGAAAGTTAGTGTATTTAACAATTAAAATAACAATTTAACAATTAAAATTAAATTAGTGTTTGAACAATTAAAATATTTTTATAAATTTTTTTTTTTATATATTTTGAATAATAAAAATAATGCTATGACGTCCTAGACAAAACATGATTTTAGTGTGGCAGTCAAAGAGTTATAGAAACTAATAATTATAGAAAGTCTTTTATGATAAACAATTTTAGGTACAATAATATTTCAATTTAACTGAGCACATTCTGTTATAAATAATAACGTAGTAAGAGCATATATGACTAGAGAGGGGGGGAAAATACTTATGAATATCAACAGTCATTTTATACCCGCTCACATTTGTAATATCTATTACTTTAATTGCAGCTTTTTTTTTTTTTATTTTTTATTTTTTTTTTGTAAATAAAAAAGCATCTGGTGTGATAAATATGAACAGAAAAGTTAACTTGATTTGTTTCAGTGCGTTAAATTATTTTCTCTTGACTTTCTAATATTATATATTTAAATAATTTTTCTTAATATTTTTTATATCATTTCCTTCTTAGTTTCCAATAACAAAAATAACATAATGGGTTTTATGCTAATAACAAAGAAATTGTTCTCTGGTGTGATAAATATGAACAGAAAAGTTAACTTGATTTGTTTCAGTGCGTTAAATTATTTTCTCTTGACTTTATTATATTATATATTTAAATAATTTTTATTATATTATGTATTTGTATATATTTGTATAAATTATTAAATATTATATTATATATTATATTANGTTAACTTGATTTGTTTCAGTGCGTTAAATTATTTTCTCTTGACTTTCTAATATTATATATTTAAATAATTTTTCTTAATATTTTTTATGTTTGTTATAAATAATCTTATTTTACTGTATATATATATATATATATATATATATATATATATAATATAATATAATATTTAATAATCGCGATTTTTTCTAATTTGTTTTTTTTTTTAAATAAATCATAATGGCAACAAGATGATACGTGTAAATTACGTATTATAATAAAATTATAAAAAAAATATATAAATAAAAAAGAGAAGAATATCAAAAAGAAGAAAAAACAAACAATATAAAATATAAATCTTAATATTGTAATAATTAATTATAAATTATTCGCGATTTTTATTATTGTTGTCGGATGATTGAATTTTGTTTTTGGCTTTGTCCTTTCTTTCCTGTTGTTTCTTTAATTTTTTTTCCTTTAGCTTAGCTTCCATTTCCTTGAACTTGAACTCTAAATATCGATCGACTTCCGGCCCGGTAAAGTCTTCAGGGAATTTCGGCATTATAGGAAGTATATATTTGTAGAGACGTTCATTGAGAACGTACAATTGTGTGGTAGATTCGCACTTGACGTTGAACCACCAGTCACAGGTCAATGCCACTTGACTGAAGATTGTACCATTCGGGCACAAGAATGACGATTTTCCACCGTTAAGATCACAGTAATGCCATACCTTAAAAAAAAAAAAAAAGAAATAGGAAAAAATAACAAAAGAATAATTTAAAATTAGATCAAGATTTTCATTGCTAATTAAAAAATAAATGAATTTTACCTGACAACCGGTTGAAGGGTCACCGAAAAATCCTTTGTATCGTTGTTTCTTGCAACTGAATTCAGTTTCCGGTATAACGGAATAAGTTGGATAATCGACGTTTGGTTTTCCACGCGTAACACCATATTTCAACGATGGGTTATTTAATTCTGGTTTAGGTGTAGAAATTGGATTATTTTCAGCAACACTTTGTTGAGTTTCCATCGTCGTTGTTGGATCAGTAACAATATGATGAGGTATTGTATAACGACCTGGATCAATTATATCATCGCTAAGATCTTCCGTAATTTCGTAAGAATGTTGTGTAGAAATTTCCAATGGGTTTTTGTTGTTTTGAGAATGATCAAGAAACGGTTTATATGCCGTGTTTAATTGTACGAGTTTTTTCTTACCATTGTTTTCATTGTTAAACGTATAACTTGATTGTTGTACAGGTATTTTAGGTGTAACACGAAATTCATTGTCATTGTAAGTAGGCGTAGATTTGTAATCGTCAAGCGTGTAAGTAGGTGGTATTACGATTTTAGTTTTAACTTCGTTTACGTAAGATGACGTAGGTTTGAAACGGTCCGGATCATCCGGTATTAACAAAGACGCCGGTACCGTTGGGAATCTCGATTCGGTGATTACTTTTGGTCGAGTATTTGGACGTATTTTCGTAGGATAATAATTGTTGGGTAATCTTTGAATGGGGGGTGGTCTAACCGCACCTGGTATTGTGGATAACACGGGTGGTGGAGGAGGTACTTGAGGAAATTCTTCTTTTTTAGCATTGTGAAGAATGTTGAGTATTTCTATCAGCGTTTTTATACTATCATCCAAATTATTTTTATCCAAAGCTTCAGGTAAACGTTCGGCCAATTGAAAACTTTCTAATATTGGATTGAAATTAATGAAATTTAAGTTTCTTGTAGGTAAATTTACCTGTTGTCTTCCAGAAGTAGAAGTAGAAGTAGAAGAAGAAGAAGAAGGATTATCAAGAATGTTTATTGTTTGTTGTTGTATACCTTTTGTAGAAATGACCGGTTGTGGTAGGTATCGAATAGAATCGATATTTTCACTAGGATAATTAATTTCAACGATAGGTTTTCCATTAGTACTACCGCTTGTGTGATCGAACGTGTTGTAATCTTGCGGTAAATTTGTATGAGTTGATTTCAATCCTTGATTCCTATTAACGTATTCTCTCGTATTACTTGTTAAATATGGTCGAATTGGTCTATTGTATCTATAATCCTTCGATAAAATTTCACCAACAGGATTATTTACTTCAATATGCGATTGTTTTTGTTCTTGTTGGGAATTATACACAGACGTGGAATAATCCTCTTGATTGATCTTAGAATTGTATCTTATCGGTATGAAATAATCCGTATCAGTTGTTGTTCCATCATTTGGATCATATTGTACAGATGGAATAAATTTTCTCAATTGATTTTGAACGTTGTTGTTACTAGTTGGTCTATAATTATTCAATACGTTTCTAGAATCACCGTTAATTCTAGAAAAAGGATATTGATACGATCTTCTCGATGATGATACATCGTTAGATGGCACTTGTTGTATCAAATTTTTTCCAGATAACCATTGTACATTTAAATGATTATTATTTGCTGCATAAAAGGCTATATATGGTATTAATCTTCTATATCTTTCTTTGAATTCGTCAAACGTTATTTCAGGTTCTTCATCCTCTTCTTCATCCGATGAATTGGATCGCGTTACGTTTGATTCAGCCGAGCAAGCTTTCAATGATAACTCTGAAACAAATAAAACAATAAAATATACAAAAAATGAACTAATAAGTTTGATACTTTGATCAATTATTTGTATCATTGATATATACTTATATGTATATATGTATTTTATAGAGAAGTTTTATCTTTTTAAATGCAAGAAGGATTCCCCAACAGGGAGATATATTGCACGAGGGATGTGTTCAGTTTAACTTAGAAAGCACGAAGTTCCTACAACGTTTATTCCCAGTTTACTCCCACGAGAAAGCAAAAGATATAAAGATCGGCTTATGAACTCGAGGGAAAACCGATAAGTTTAATCAGCGTTGCAATTCGATAGTTCCACTTTACATAAGAGATGAAATTTTTATTTCTATTAAGCTAATGTTTCAATATTTTATATATATATTTTGAATTATGCAAATTAGTGTTTTTTTCTTTTTTATATTGGATATTTACATTCTCTTCTTCTTCTTTTATTTTTTTGAATTTGATTTGAATTCTTGTTTAGTTTAGATGAAACTAAAATGTGTCTTTTTTTTTTCTACTTCATCGAGTGAAATTAAATTAGAAGGAAAAATATATCTGTCAGAGGGTTTCCATTTCCTACCACGTCTTCCCCCCATTTATGGGTTCATTCCATCCCTTTGCATTTCACCCTTTAGAGATTTACCAACACCCTCAGGTTTCGAGCGCTCAAGCCCTCGTGCAATATTCGAGAGCCAAAACGAGTGAGCAGTTGTGTTTCGTGAGATATATTCGTGTCAACGTTTCCGTATTTTGTGGCTGCTAAAAGCATACCCACCCAACTCTTTCTATAAACTTTTATATGTATAATACACGGTACATACACACACGTTTATCTTTTTGTCTCCTCGAATTTCCATGTCACCTAACCAACACGTATCTTTTTGTTGTGTCTCTTCTTTCGAATGCTTAGTTGTTGTTTTTTTTTATTTATACATTTTTTTTTATTATTATTCTCTCTTTTTTTTTTATTTTATTTATTTTTTTTTTAACATCCTCTTAAAAAGGTGTCCAGATTTTACTTTCACTTTTTTTTTTTCGTCCTACCCTCTTGACTCTTCTCACTTTATTACCATTCTTCTCTCGTAATTTTATATTTTTTAACAGGAGGTATTTGTTTTACAAGAGTTTGAATCGTTTTATATACGTACGCGTAATATAATATCGTATATCGTATGCATTCATATATCACAAAAAAATGCTAGATTTCAGATTAGAGTTACCAATGTGTATTTTAATTTTTAAATAATATAAAAATTTCCTATATATTATCAAATTTCTTCGTTTCTATCTCGTGAAATGAAAATACACACATGTCGTTTTACACTTGTAATCACAGTCAGTCAGTTAGTTTGATAGTAATTAGAAACGCAATGAGGGTTCGGTACGGTACTGCATTTCACGTAGTGTGTTGTGTGGTGGTGTCTGCTGGTGATGGATCGTCGTCATGCACTGGTAGAGGAAATTCATGGAAGAAGAGATGGCCATAGAAGGAAATGTATATATATATATATATACATTTTGAACATATAAATATACGTGTATTTAAATACAAACACCTATACAGACACACACTTATATATATATATCATCGGACAACACTTTCTCTCTCGTACTTTTTTTTAATTCGGTGATTCTCAGTTGGTATTCTGGAATAGTACAGACGTATATTCCGGGTATGTGAATAAGTGGATGAAGGTGAGGGTATGAGGGGATGAGGGTGAGGATACTAGCAGCACAGGAATCTCTCGAATAATATAAACCTGCCTTGTTAGGTTAGCCATGAATTTTTATAAACCGATTATTTAATCTCGATGTAACAAAGTGCGCAACTCTATTTCTTTTGTTGTTTTTATTTTTATATTTCTCTGTCTCTCTATCCCGTAAATCTACTCTCGCTAGAGAGAGAGAAAGGGTGGATGATACTGGGGTGGTTAAGGGAGAGAGTGGGTGAAGTTGAATGCGGTTTTATCCATCGGGGTACATCAAAGGAACGAGTCATGAAGGATAGGAAGAGACAAAAGGATAAAAAGAGAGAGAAGGTTGGGAAAGGGGTGGAGGGAGTGAGAGAGAGAGGATGGTAGGGGGGAAGGTGGAAGGGAGATAGATGGATGTCAACACCTCACTTACTTTATTTTTTTTTTCATTCGTTATACTCTCACTGGTTACATGGAAATATCTACGGGAATGACAACGAGAGTGTGTGTGGGAGAGATAAAGAGAGAGATAGAGAGAGAGAGAGAACGTGCGTGGGTCGTGCGTACGCGTACGACCTGGAAATCCAATTCGATTTTTGGATGAAATGAGTTTGGAAATTCGGTACTCGCGTGTTGTAGTAAAGCACTGCTCGGCCAGGTGAGGAGGAGGGATATTCCGGTTTATTAATCCTGTCAGTGCTTGAAACGTGATTGAAAAATTTGCAAAACGCGTCGTAGCACTGGTGTAGCACACAGCATCATCATCTCTCTAGTGTGTTCCTCTTTCAGTTGTATGTTATTCTCCATCTCTTCGGTTGTTAAAAAGGGATACGACTGAGGGTGTGGTTAGGAGAGAGAGAGAGAGAGAAAGAAAGAAAAAGAAAAATAGAAAAAGAGATAAAGGTAAATAGATAGCCGTGAAACTACACAAGCGTTTGTCCTGTTCTGAAACTTTACAAAGCGCGAATAATTTCACTCCTCTTCTTTCTTTTATCATCCTCTCTCTTTCTCTCTTTCTCTTTCACGTGGTTCTCTTAATGTGTTTATTTGCATAAGGATACAACCGTATATCGTCCTTCGGGCTAAGCGAGGAACATGATTCTTTCTCGTGTCGTTTCTATCCTCACCCCACTTCACTCCTAACTCAGTTCTACCACCCCCCAGTCCTCCTTTACCTCTTCCTCCTCTTATTTCACTACCATCACCCTTTATCCATCTCTCTCTTTACTTTACTCTTCTTCTTTTCCAACCAACGAACCAACCAACCCCCTAACTCAGTTCTACCAGCCCCCTCCCCACTTCCTCTTATTCCACTATCATCACTCTATCTTTCTCTCTCTCTCTCTCTCTTTCTCTCTACTCTTCTCTTCTTTCTTTCAACCAACAAACTAACCAACCCCGTCTCCCCTACCACCCCCTTCTTCGTTCTTTCTCATTCTCGCACGTTAATTCGCCGAGCGTTATGTGTTCGAGATAATTGCGACGAGATGTTAGGTTCGTTGCTTTAACGATCCTCTTTTGCCACAAGAGAAAGAGAGAGAGAGAGAGAGAGAGAGAGAGAGATAAAGAGAGAGATAAAGAGAGAATATTTTCCTTTTATCGAGTAATCGCATGTTATATGCGTTTTTCTAGTCTTTCTCGTTTATGCGTTTTTCTAGTCTTTCTCGTTTATGCGTAACCCTCTCTCTTTCTCTTTCTCTTTCTCGTCCTTTAATCCTTTCTTTAGGCAACGTGTAGAAGGTTGTTATCCTTTTTAATTCTGACATTTTCCATCTAATGCATAGTTTCAATTCTACGCTTGCAAATGTTAATTATTTTTTGTTCTCTCTATCTCTCTCTCTGTTTTTTTTTTTATTGGTGTATATATGTGTGTAGGTATGTGTATATGTGTATATGTGTTTATAATTAAGAAAATTATTTTATTTTTTTTTTTTTTGTACAGCTTTCAATTGACAATTTGCATAGGAACTTTACCTGTATTTTTTTTTATGCACCTAGAGGTACACGTTATTATATTATAATATTTTTATGTTACACTTATATTTGATAGTCAAAAGGAATATTATTAAAAGATTTCGTAAGAGATACGAAAAAGTATTTGATAAAATTATTTTCATTCTTTATTATTTTTTTTATTAGTATATATTTATACTACTATTATACTACTATTATATTACTACTATACTATGTATACTAGTATTATATATATTAATTTATTATTAATATATATATATTTACTTTTATATATTTTATATATTATATTATATTATATATATACTAATATATATATTTTTATTAGTATATCGTGTTATTTATTAGTATCTCATGTTAACCATTTTTCATTTTATATATTCTTTTTTTTTTATATATATCCGTATGTACACATATTATATATATATATACATATGTCTATGAATATAAGTTATTTCGTATTCATTCATATTTTTCATATAAACCATTGCATATGCATTTACTTACGTGCAATTACTTTTATACGGTCACGTTTATAAATATGCACACGTCATTCCATTTTTCGGCCTGGGATAAAAACAGAGGGTTGAGTTGCCGTGGGGGAAGAGTGGGAGGAGAATGGGACGAGAGTGAAGTGGGTGGTTGGGCTGGGTGTTTGGTGGATCCACGTGTAATCAAAACACAAGTCTACACGTGTCCCTCTCCTCGTCCTTTTATTGGTCATCGTCGTCGTCGTCGTCGTCGTAGTCCTTTTTGTCGTTGTCGTCTTTGTCGTGTTTGTATTTGTATATTTGTGTTGTGTTTTGTTGCATTGTGTATATTGTGCATGCATGCGAAAAGAGCCCCCCCTGCCACACGACGATTTTTCAGTTTCACTCATTAAGAACTTTCGCGAGGGAGAATGAAAAATGGTTTTATTTCTACGCTTTATACTATCCTTCTTTCTCTCTCTATTTTTTTTCTTTCTATCTCTCTCCGTTTCTTTCTCTTCTTTTTTTTATGTATGTCTATCTATCCACCTATCTATCTATCTATCTTTCTTTTTTTTTTTATATTTTTTATCTCATTCTCATCCTGTCTCTCTATCTCTGTTCCACCATTGCAATAAATTACCTCGCAGCTCGTGGTATTTTTTTCTCTCTTGCGATTGGCCAGTTTCGAGCTTTTTTTTTTCTTTCTTTCTGTTTATTTTATTTTATTTTTTATTTTTTATTATATTCTCTGTGTTCTTTCTCTTCCTTCCTTCCTTCTTTCTTTTTCTCATTTTTATATATGTGTGTATATATATATATATATATATACACGCTTATACATACATGTCAACGTTGA